ACTCTTTAAACATGTAGCATACTGCTTCCAGAATCCAGTGCTAGTATAACACTATCTCACCCTTGGCCTAAATTTTGTATTAAGCACAGTGGGAGGACAGAACAGATCACTGTATAGCTTTACTTTTACTTTTTCAAAAACTGAGATGTTTCATTTTTCTAAGTGAGAGAACAACATTTTAGAAAGTATTATTATAGCTCTTCAGCCTAACAGATCTTTTGAGCATTAACCAAAGTATGAATGTTAAAATAATGTTTTAGAAAAATATACAAGGCTGTAAAGGACTGGCCCATCTGTAGTAATATATGTAACAATGTACAGAATATTTAACTATAACAGAAGACATGAGCCTAATTCTATTGAGCTCTTTTTAAATAACTTCAAAGAAAGATTAGTGAAGCAAACATTAAATGTGTCAGCTCAACAGCTACAAGTCATACCTGGCTGGCAAGTTCTCGGGTTGGGGATATAATCAGCGCTCTGAAGCCTTTATTTGTGGGCTGTTTCAGCTGCATTAAAATGGGAATGCTAAAAGCTAGAGTCTTTCCAGATCCTGTAGGAGCAGAAGCCAGAAGTTCCCGACCCTAAAAAGAGTAAATTAAGTATAAGGAAAAGTACATAAATGTTTCAGGAGCCAGTCAAAGAATGCTAGCATCCATACAAATAACAAAACCTAACTAATCCACTCATTCAAGTCCTATTTGCTTTTCTAAATTCTCCCACACTTGCTTTTCTTACACCACTGTCTTTGCCAACCAAGCTTCTGAACACTGCTGCTGCCCAAATGAGTAAACAATGCAGAGAACTATAATTCAAAGAGAATTACACACATTATTTTTTTCCCACTAAACTCTTTTAAAAGCAAAATTACAAAAATCAGCTTTTTATCCTGGTATCTGTACAGCTCAATACCTAGGGAAGATTTCACTAAATAACAGAAGGGCTGGAAGTTAAAAATAAAGAGTGGCAGAGATCTGAGTGACAGAATAATTTATAGGTGACAATCTTCAAATAAGTCACTGTGAATATTAAAGTTTTAACTGAATGAATGACAGAAACAACCTTAAATGGAACTTAGCAAACTGTGTTTAGTTACTCAAATGTAAGAAGCTATTCTCATTTCACTGAGCAAAGACTCATTGAAAGACTAAATGGATGAAAAAGAAACTCATACTCTTTGGTTATTTGATAATGAGAATACATTCATGTAACTGTAACCCTAACCCTACCCCTAAAGCCAGCTTTGCTGTACGGAGGAGAAAAGTCAACTCTCATTGTTGCAAAAGAAACCTCAAAAATCTTTATTTCAAAAATCTGAATTAGCCAGGCATGAAACATGGCTGTAATCTCAGCTCTTGGCAAGAGGATCCCATGAGTTCAAGGCCATGCTGAACTATACAGCAAGATGCTATCTCAAAAAACCAACCCCACCTCACTAAGAAAAGCTAGGTTCATCCACAGATCTATTAACAGGCAGCTAGATTAAAAAAAAAAGTGACATTCTATACAACAGAATATACTATTAACAAACTGCCAATATATACATTATGGATGAAATTAGAGAATGTAAAATAAAAGAACTCCAAACTAATAGATTAAACAATGATTGTGTCTGAAATTCTAGAAGAGATAAACAAATACAGGACACAGAAATTGGAAGAGTGTTGCCTCTAGCAAGCAATGGAGTGAGAACTGAAGGAAAGGGTATAAAGTGTTTTGTATTTTCACTGGAATGGTAATTGTTGGAACTCATAAAATTTGTATGTTTTATTGAAGTATACTTCAATAAGAAAAAGTATTAGGACAGAAATTAAGCTAGGTTAGGTTCAAAAATTTTAGAAGCATCTTGATTTTTGAAATAGTTTCTGGGAACTACAAACTAAACAAAGGATAATAAGATAAAACATAGTGTCCATCTTCAAAGGGTTCAAATATTCTGAGAAAATGCACACATAAGAACCATTGAGAACTGATGGGTAGGGAAACAGTACTGATAAAGGAGAAAGATCAGTTTATAGTTGTAATGGGTAAGAAAGTTTTATGAACAAAGACATTTGACATGGACCTTAACAGCAATTGAAGGATTTTAACAAGGAAGGTAAGGTGGAAAAGGATATTAAGAGATGGAAGAAAATGAACAAGTACACAGAGAAAGAGGTGGTACAGGCATCCTATGCTTTCATACTCACATGCAGCATAACTGGAATGGCTTGCATTTGGATTGGTGTTGGCGCATGGAAGCCTGCATCTAGAATGTTCTGAAGCAGTCGAGAATTAATTTTATATTCCTGGTTAAGTTGCTGAAATGTAGCAATTGGATCAGGAAGATCAGTTCCTTGGACATGAATTTTGTGTTTGTTCCGGAAGCAGTTTATCT